ATTTATATCAATGTCAAACATCTTAGTACATTAACATTGCTTCCGGTGGAATAACTGGGTGTAACGTGCTCTTTTCAGCGAATGAAATCTCCTCTTTAGGAGTATTAGGTCCTAGCTGATATTTGGATGGAGTTAACGTACCTTGGTATGATTTGTGATCTAACTTGATCTCTTTTAAGGTACACATGATTTCTATTGATGCTTTATCGAAGTTCATCGATCCCAGCCAACTTATAAGAGATCTCGGTGGTTCTTTCCCATACGATCACGACGACTGGTTGGACACGCGTCTGGTAATTCATCCTCTTTTTATTGCTGTTTTTTATGTGGGTATGATAGGGACTGATTCCGGAGGAGCTCAGGTAGATTATTCGATGCAGGAACGTAGTCTGCTTTTATACATTGTTTCTCACCTTTACATTTACATGTTCTTCTTGCTTCCGTCAGCCGTACTTACCGTGCCTACATGAGTTCTTTAGTTGAATTTCACCTTCCTAGAGAAAGAATGCTTCATGTCATTGCAGGAATTGGAACGCTGGATATGGCAGGTTTCGGAAGTGATGCGAAATTTGGAATGCCAACGCAGAGCAATGGCAGACGCTCAATTTCCTGTAGATGTAACCACAGCGGAATCTGCTCTTTCTCAACATTCCTCCATTAAGAAAACGATTTTTGCCATTCCGATTGATCGCCTACAAAGCGAATCTGACAGGGTTTGTTCTGGTCATCACGCTCTCTAATTTGATTTTTTTCAGGATTTCATAAGAATATAATTTTTTTGCAGATAAGTGAGAGAATCAATCGAGCTCAATGTGGGATTTCAAACCCTGATCTCGTGTCGTCAATTCCGCATATGGCTAATCTTCTGACATCTTTACGAAATTTGAAGTAAGTACTTCTGATGTCGATATGTGGCGTAATCTGAGAGTGGCAGTATTCGTGCATCGAATTGCGAAAATCTTCATGATTTAAAATTCTTCAAGCAAACACCCGAAAAAGGTCACAGCTTGATTCTACTGTTTGAAGGAACGACGTCTTTAAGCAGTGGGAAACACGCCGTGTGGAGCTGGAGGGATGTTATCAGATGAAACTCTTCGAACATGACGCTGATGAGGTATGCTCTGTCTTCATTTTGTACAGTAACATTCATTCTCGCTTTCAAGCCATTGGCGTATGTATGACTGCAACAATTTATCCATCTACAGTTACTAAAACAACGCTGCTCTAGATGTTGGATTGGACGCGAAAACACTGCGACGCATTATCACGGCGAATAGGCGACATTGGTGTGAACGATACAGAAGCGTCTGAAAGGCTTCATGAGTTCGAAGAATTTTCAACAACAGCGGATGTGAGTACTTTATCTGTTAGCAGATTATTGTACTATTTATGCAAATTTTGATTCAATTGATGACTACCGTTGCGCTCTTCTACCACTTAATATCGGCGTGTTCGCATTTTTATATGCTTCACTAACATTTAGTTCTTTGCATTTTAATCAACAGTGCCTTCACTACAGGGAAAGAAAGAAATTAACAGTGTATTCACTACGGGAAAGCTCGAACCGATCATTCTTTTGGTGCTACTTCTTTCCGCCTTTTCCTCCTCTTCTCAGTCTCACTTCTCCACTGCATTCTTGAAATTAAGCCTCATCACTCGCCAGAATCTCTACAACAGAATCCGTAGCTCGCAATTGTTTTCCTTTTATTCGCTCAGGCTCTGTGCAATTATTGCAGTAGACACAAGATCTTTTTCATGACTGTAGCAGTAACTTTAATCTGCTATCTTATGGAATAATAGAATAAGTAAATGTAACGCCGTGTAACATGCAGCTGAGGGCTCAACATTGGTAGCCACGTCAAACTTTATACAAGTTTATTTCGTGTATTTTGGACGTTTAGAATTTTTCAGAGTGCTGAAGTGAATATTACTCAAGTCACTAATATAGCTATACGTTTGCGGTCAATTGGTGGACAGAATTCTAGAAACAAGGTCTGTATTGTTTCATGTTCTCTTCTACTAAGTGAGTATAGAACCGGGAGCTCCTGAATATTTTTAGGCCGTAAAAGATCCAAAAATTGGATATGCACTTTGGATGACTTGGAGTTTCACGTCTCACAGTAATATTATATTTTGTATGCTGAATATTAGATCCACTTCTCTTTGCAGTTGGAACGGACAAAATTACGATTGGAAGAGGAATGGGCTCGGTTTCAAGAACAATTAGTGAAACGAAAGCTTATACTGAGTGCTGCTGTTGCCTTTTTCAGTGCCTCGAAAGTGGTTAGTTTCATGAACGAAATATTGCATTGACTTTTATTTGACTTTTATGTCATTTAGGTCTATATTTGTTATTTTCAGTATTTTTCCCAACTGCCGAGTTGGGTAGAAAGCCCTGGAGTGGATCCTGCTGGCATGAATGGGAAAACTGCGGAGGTTTTAGAGGATGCCATCCAGCAGCACGAAAAGTTCTGGTCGACTGTTGAGGAGACGTATGCAGAGGTACTGAGAACTCTATAGTTCTGACATGAATGTATTCTTTCAACTTTGCGAAAACATATTTCTTCTCTTATGTGGTCCATGGGCGGAAGTGGTGGCACGCCTACCACGCAAGCGTCCGGGATCGATTCCCTAGATCGTCGAGTCCCTGGGCGCGCAAGCTTCCCGGGGTCGGTTAATTGGTGTCTGGGAGGATAAAAACACTGACTTGTACATCGGCTGGCCCCCGCAAGTCATTGTATAGGCCACATCGCATTCAAACGCCACTACGAATGTACAAATGGAAGTAGAATGCGTGCCGCATCCCAAAAACGGGATTGATCAACGGCAAAAGCTTTATCCTTTATCCTTTTATGTGGTCCATGTGTGACCTTTATTGCTATTATTATAATATTTAAAAAATGTTGTGTGTGCGGTGTCTTGGCTAAGTCGACCATGATTTACATCTTTTTTGATGATTGATGTTTTCCAGGCTGTTGCTCAGGGGTCTCAATTGGCTCAGCTATTAAAATCTGTGGATGTTGATGACGCACCTTCAAAAGAGCAGATGGGAAAGCTAACAAGAGCTCACAAGCATCTTCTTTGTTTGTGGAAAGAAAGAAGGGTGAGAATGTTTGAATTTTTGATTTTAATCTATTGCACTTTGTGAGACTATAGTATGCTGTAGGTCCCATCCTTGTCTTTGAAAGTTTTTTTTTGAGAGTTTTTGTGTGGTTTAAACTGTTGTTATAGAGCAATTTCGCGATGGAGCCATTGTAGGCCGGCAATTAGCAGGGTTTACGACTTAGTCTTGCTCTTAGGCCTCATACTCTTGTTTTCTCAGCCACTAGAGAGCCTTATTCTTGTAAAAGTAGTGGTCGTTGTTTTCTGGATCAAAACTGTTTGTTCTTTACTTACAACTTCCTCAACCTTTAAGGTTCGACTCCATTCAATGCTTGCTCTGATTGCATTCCGTACAGATACACAACTGGTTGTGGAATGGCTTGAGCAACATGGTGATCCGTATCTGACAAAGAACACAAGCATAGGTTTGACTAACTGTAGCTGAACGCGATATTGAAATAATATAGGTATGCTGCTCCCGTGAAATGTCATACTTTAAGGGGAAACTGTCGAGCAAGCACGCACACTGCAAAGAAACCACAGCCATTTCCGCCAGATTGCAAGAAATACGTATTCGAATGCCAATAAACTTTTTGAAGCCAGTAAAGCAATATTGGAATCAGGTATATTTTTCGTTAACGCTTCGCTTACATAACGCATCGTCCCTGCAAGTTAAAACCTTGACAAATTGCTGAGTTAACTATGATTTCCTCTTTGTCCCTGAGGCTCATTTGGAACTTTCGCTGCTGAGGGCTAATTGATTGAATCTTTTTTTAGCAGATCAAAATAAGGCTGAACGTAAGTCTCGCTTATTCATCCAGTCTTTTTTCTTTTCCTTCACACGCTGATCGTAAGCGATTTCTTAGTTTCGGATCTATGACTGGAACGTACGGTATTGTGCTTGTCCTTGCCCATCGTTTATGCCTGTGTTTCTAGTAACTGCGTTATTCGTCGGTTACACTTGAAAGATTGTTGTATTATGTTCCCGGTGGTTTGGATGCTGAGAATGAAGAGCCATGATCGGTGACCTGGATCAACGGGTACAACAGTTCACCCATCGTGTCGAAGCTAGGTTCGAAGGAATCCATTGTTTTTTAGCAGAACAAATTGTGATTTGTTTAGATTTAATTTGCTCAATCAGTCTGTTTTGTTTCACACGCATTATCATGAGATCATGGCTTGGTATGATGAAATGGAGAAAAAGTATGCGGAACGGGTAGTTGACTCTGAGGTTGAGGCATGCGAACGAAGCAAGGAAGCAATGGCTCTATGAAAGTGATGGAACGGCGCAGGTATTCACCTAGATAGAATCATAATTGTTGTTAAGGCTTGCAATTTATAGGCTACGCCACGACTATCGGCGAAGGCACGCAACTGCTTCGCGAATTGGAAGTTCATTCATTCAGCATACTGGGATTGACTACACCAGCAACATTGCTTGCATCAATCGACTAATTCGGAACATTGGTGAGTACATTTTCAGGCTTTTTAATCGTGTTATGGTTATTCCGGATTATTCAAAAATCAGAAGGACGATTGTCTTGTTATCATGTGAACCATAGAAGTTTTCGCTTTCGATGAATGCGCCTAATCCCGACCCGATGTAAACCATATCGAGACCAATTCAAAATTTTCTTCTGGGTAAATCTTTTTTGCCTCTTTGCTCTTTTTGGTGTTACATAACAAACTGAGAACGTTAAGCTGAATTTCTGTATTCTGGATTGCTGGAGAAGAACTTCTCGACATGGCCAGGTTGATAAAGTTCTTTGTTAGCAACACTAGGGTTCGAAGAGTTTTTGCCTTCTACTGCGATCACAGCAGCTCTTAATAGCAGTACTCCATTTATCCCTTCAGTAACTCAATATTTTTAAAGGTAAATTAAGGTCATATATAAAGCGATCGCATATTCCCATCCATGAGGTTCTTTCGAAGAATTCTCGCACAATTTAAAATAAAATCTATCATCTTGTATTAGATGCTATGCAGCACTATCGAGATTCTTGTGGCATTTGAATGCGATTTCGCCCATACAAATAATTTGCGAGGTCCGCTGATCTTCAGCGACGCAGTTCTCATCGCTCCCAGGCAAGGTTTCATTTCGCTTTCGACGGCTCGGAAGATAAAGGTCGATTTGTGTCGCGTAGCGGTGTAGCCTTAGATTCTTGGACGGCATGCTCCTGCTAGAGGAACCATTTTCCGATACCACTTCCAAATAGGGCGAGTTTAATTATAGTTTAACTACTTTACATCAAATGATGTCAGAGTTTGTACGGCTCATTGAGATTTCATTCTTCGAGCAAACCCTTCTGTGAATTTCAGAAAGTCGCAATAGTAAATTGTCGAGCATTTGGAATCCGCAACGTGTGCTTGTTGCAAATAGGACTCCGATTTGCTGTGCTAGTTCGGCGACAACTGTGAAGTACTATCTCAAATTCGGGTAGGCAATAACTTCCTTCAAAACCTTCTCTTCTTCTGGATTCAGGTAGTGCATTTTAGAGCTGGGAGGAAGATATGCGTGGTATGTTGGAATCTTCTACATTTGCTGGAAATGCGGAAAAGGTTCTGCCATTCCATCAAGACAATACAGCTCAAGTGAAAATGGCTGTAAAGAACATTCGCAAGTGTGCTCAGGAAGTATTGCAGGTCTGTTGGTATGCTTGTGAATTTTTACAAGATTTTTCATTGAAATAATTTTAGTCTATTCATGGAAATGGTTTCTCTGATTTACGGACGAGGCAAGGAAAAAGTGTTACCGATCTGATTAGAGAGAACCTAAAGATCCTCTTAGAGAGAACCTAAAGATCCTCGAAGTTGCCGAACATCAAGTAATGCAGGTGGGATTATTTACATGCCATCAATATTGTGAGCTGGCATCTCGCACATAAATTGGCAACATTGTGGCGAAGCGCGTACATTCGCTACTTAGCGTATGGAATGAGTGAATGCGTTCATTCATTGAGTTTTTTTCTCTATTTTGATGAGCTGTAATTAAGGCATGAAGAGCAAGAATACTAACGTTCAACTGCGTTGTTATACTAGAAGCTGTCTTTCCATCAATACATGAGTTTTTTTTCAGTATGCTGCTGAGACGTCTTACCGTATCGAAGGCTCCCGAAAATTGGGACGAGTAAGTGGTTACACACATTGCAGCAATTGATCAATCTGATCAGTTTGATTGAAGTTGAAATATGACATGAGCTCATTTCAGATCCGCAACGTCGTGCGTGAAATAGTTTCCGTGTTTGATCGTGAAGAGCGAGCTCTTCAAGTCATGAGCACCGTCCCTGTTGATCTAGAACAAGCCCTGAGGGCACAAGAAGCTCATGAAATGTTCATTAAGCGAATTGAGGTGATCCTTTTTTGTACACAACCGCAGGACTCTCCCTCACTGAGGTCTTCCAGTTGAACAACATGGATTCCGTTCGAGTTTTCTATGAACTGTCCAATGAGCTTATCCGGGAAGGATCAACGGATCGGTCAGCTGTGGTCGAACTAAATGAGATGGTTACCGGTCGATGGAGGAGATTAAGCGGCTTGGCTGAAGAGCGCAACAAACTTCTCAAGGTATAGTGGTCGATATTTCGTCTCATTAGTTGGTAAATTGTAAGAAAATTTATGAAAATGCTTTCTGATGCAATTACCTCTCTGTTCTCGGCCTCTATTTTATGTCTTTTTGTATATGTCTTTGTCTGTCTTTTTTACCTATTAATCTTGTAGTTAGCTAAAGATTTAGTGAATTCGGTTTCCAGGCTGCTATAGTTTGCTACAAAACTTACCTCACTGGAGTGTATCCCATTCTCGATCAGTTGGAGAAGGATTATAGCCAGGTTGGTGATGCTACCATAATGATATCATTCAGTAGATTATTCATGATTGTTGCTGATTACCTTAGAATGTTGTCCTTATGAATCATTTGGAAAGTATAGACCACGTTCGACTCTAGCTGTAGCTGGTTTTGTAAACAACTACTGTTAATGTTGACTGGCATGGATTGTCTATTTTGGATATCACTTTTACTTCACTCAAAGTTTTAGTCCATTTTATGTGTATTTATGAATAGCACTCTTTCCTGACTGCAAATTTACTAGAATCCCGATCGCGATTGGTGTGCGGTACGAGTGGGTGAAACGCCACAGGAGAGAGTCAACGTGATTTCGGAGCTGCTCAGCAAGCACATGGATTACAAAGATCGATTCCTGAAGGGCTGTATTTATGCACAGAAAA